AAATAATATTCGTTTATTTTATTACTTATTCTTATAGTTTTGTAAGTTATAATTTGTACTAGTATTATGCACAACAAAAAATTATAATAAATATTTTAAACCTCTCACTTTTACTTACATTATTTCATTATTGATTTATTTCCTAAATAGACTTTACAAATTCTTTCTAGGTAAGAATGTAAAATTAATATCTTTCGAAACGTGGCTATTACTAATTATTTATTATTCGTTCTTAATAAAAATATATTTGTGATTGGACTTAACAACGAGTTGGAAAATTGACTCTGAAAAATAACGATTTTATGATTCACAAAAAATTACAACAATCTTACGTCTTCATTTCACGATTAAATCTAATTATTAATACAACTTATACGGTTTTTGTTTTAAGTTTTAAATATAAATTTAAAGCTTTAACGTAAGTTATAAATAAATAGTAATAGAGAAAAGTTTCCATTTTTCATGATTCAATGAGTACAAAAATTACTGAAAGTTAAACTTTCATCATTTTTAGCCTTTGTGAGCTTTCAAATAATTAGAATTGACTACTTTTTTGTATAAAATACAGAAATTAATAAAGAAAAGATTGTCTTTTTGCACCGCTACTAGAAAAGAAATACAAGAAATAAATTAAAAGCAAGATATTATAATCAAAGAAAAATACTCTGACTGTTATCACAATATGCATCCAAGTGCAACAACTTTTTTGAGGGAATATTTTGATTTTTATGTATAAAGGAATATACAAAAAATTGTCAATGTACATATATTAAGTATTTTTGAACCTGCGTAAATTTTTATCTTAGTCTTAATATATTTATATCGTTTATATGTCGCAAGGTAATAATAACCGAAACCCTGGAGTTATTAAATGCCATATTGTATTTTTTCCAAGTGAGTTATGTTATTATTTAAAAAATCTGAAATGTCCATCAAATTACCAAATGAAATAAAGGATTTAATTAAAATCTAACTATTATCTAAGTTCAGTAGAAGTAGAGAGTATTAAGAGTTCTTTATTAATTAATTAAAAACTGGTTTTTATTATTATCCTGCGGCATATATAGCGGTTGGTCCGTTGGAGAAGACCGTTCCCAGCAAATTACGGACTGAACACGCGGTAAAATTCCTTTAACAAATTGGTCTTTTTCTTTTCAAATAGAAAGACAATTAATCATTTAAGTATCTGCTAAAACCTGATTGCTTAACCACACGACCTGTGTAACTTTAACAATTCTAAAAAATGCATCATTTGGCACTTTTTTATACATACTAAATATATCCATAATTTTCGCTCAATTTATAGAGGGAAAAATAGGAATTAATGTAATTAATTATTACCTAAACAAATCAGCTAGCAATCTCACTTGCCGAGACCGGCTAGAGCCTCGTCCATAAGTTCGTCATCGGTAATACAGGGTGATGCGGAAAGCGGACTGGGTACAACCAAAGGGCTTGCAACCGGTGATTTCACTATATGCACGCTAACAGAAGGTGAATGAGGATAAGGCGGGGGCGGTCCCAATGCACTACTCCCGGTATTTCCGCCGCCCATTTTAATAACGTCACATTTCACACCGGCACTCGAATAGTCCAACAGGACACATTCAGTAGAACTTCCTTTTACGTCCCGTTTCTCGTCTTTGGCTAACGGTGTCGCGAATTTCGTGGACAAATCGATACTTTTAGTCGATAAGCTGAGGGGTTCGCTATTACCACCACCACTGCCGCTCCCACTACTCGCCGACATCGGGTACTTTCCAGAGGATATGGGATAGTTAAGTTTAAAATTGACATCTTCTTTATTAGACGATGATGATGACGACGTGGTTCCCTTTTTTTCGGACATTTCGGATGACGTTTCAAACGGATGATGGTGTTGCGAATTAGCCATGGATGTTTTGGGATTTGACGACATCACCGAACCTACTGTAACATTCATGCTGTTCCGTATTTTCGTTTCCATTGATGTGTCGAACATTTTGGTTGTGGGCAAGGCGAGGGGATATTTCGGTAACACAACGTCATTTTTTGACAGGACATCAAACATTTTTGCCCCATCCAGAGATCTGTTTACATTATTTGTGGTTTCTGATGAGGTCGTAGTAGTAACTTTGTTTAATGACGATGCCGTTTTTTTAGCATCATCGGAATTCCTTGCAGACAACTTTGGTATCTGAAAGCTTTTGTCAAATTGTTTTATTAGACCTTCTACGACAATTGGAGGCGAAGCGTACGCGTCCATTTTTGAAAAGGCAAGTTTTAAAGCCTTATCGCCATCACTTTCGTCTCGGTTCGGTGTTGGACTTGATTTTTTGTCCCGCGAACTGCTAAATATCGACTTTTCTGAACCGCTTTTGCTCATTTTCGGACGATCTTTGTTCCTGCTGCTCAGATCTGTTGCAGTAGATGATGAAGTCTTTGGAGAGCCGGTCATCCTCGACGACGTTGATTTCAAGAGACTTCCACCACTAGAGGAAGATATTGATGACGAAGATGTTTTTGCATTTGTTGGTTGCTGCGATTTGTTCATTACGCTTGAGTTTTTCAAAGTTCCATAACTCGACAAAGATGAACTTAAACTGGTGGTAGACTTCTGAAAAGCTTGGGGTTTCTTGGAGGCTGGTCCACTGTTGACTCCCGGTTTTAGACCGGTATGAGTTTTTGGTGAACCGGTCCCAGAACTAGAGAGATTTCTAACGACACTTCCGGCACTACTACTACCACCACCACCACTAGAACTAGTACCACTACTACTTTTCGAAGAGGCTTCTTTGGTGCGAGTCTTATTAATTGTTATTTTCATTCCATCTAAACTAGGTTTGACCATGTATTCAGAGTTTTTGGTCTCTTTGCCTCCACTTTTATTACTACTCCCCGAGTCCGTAGATTTCCCTGACGAAGTTTGACCACCGCTGCTCCGTTCCTTGTTCCCGCTGGATGATGAGGAAGATTTACTTAAATCTGACAGTATCGTCCCATCGCAATGTTGTGCTGATTTCAATTTGTCGACTATTTGCGATAAGTTCTTGCGATTGCGCATTTGTTGATTAGAAATGGCTGATTTATTGGGATCAATCGAAGTGCCTGGGGATGGCAAATTGTCACCTGCTTGTTGTTGTGTCAAAGTAACATCGAAGTTGTTCCCTTCAAGTTGTTTAACTTTCACCGTCGATTTTGGTTTGATGGCATTTGCGCTTGAAGATGAGGACTTTTTTTCTTTATCTCGGTTTAAATCTTTAGAAATCGATTTGCTCTTTGACGTTTCTCCTGAACCCTTCCCCGAAGAAGATGGAGAATTTGCAGCGCTTTTTAACGTGGACATGCTTGGTTTACCGCTACCGCCAGCGGAAGGGTGCTTCGGAGAGGCTCCGTGATTTTTTGGACTAGAAATGGAAAAAGAATGCTTGGGACTGCTAGGGACATGCGCAGGAGAATGCTTTGGACTTTGATGGGATGACGGCTTGGACCCTGAGGACTTCATTATGTTTGGACTCAGTTTTCCACTGACTGTAAAAGTTTTATTTTGCGTAGGAGAAGGACTAAATTTGCGTACAATACTCGATGGTGACGTAGGGGTAATGGGACGTAAAGGGGGAGACTCTGCCGGTTTTATGCTCACGGATATGGGCTTGTTAATAGAGTCTTGTTTATTAGGAATTTTTTCCGGAGGTCCCATAGGACTTTCTTCTCTTTTCCGCTTCCTTTTCTTTTCGAGTTTGCTTTTGTCATCACTTTTATTTTTGCTGTACTTCTTTTGCCTTTTCTCTTCGCCACTTTTCGAATGGGACGTTAAGATGGGGGTAATGGTGATCGAACTAGGAACCGAAGTTTGAGGTGGTGTGTTTATAGGAATGATTTCGATTCCGCTTTTTCTCTCGTTTGCAATTGTGCTGGTAGAACTGTACGGAGACGTGATGGGAGTTATGCTAACATTAGGAGGCACAAGGGACTTATCGATCAAATCAGTAGCAGAAGGTGATCGATCTATTTCACGGGTTTTTCGTGACTGTCTATGGTCTTTCCCACCAGATATTAAAACGCTCACAACCTCTTCGTCAACATTTTCGTATTCGGAATTGGACTTATCGCCGGAACTTATCAGTTCAGCCGGATCCAATGCGGATAATTCAAGATCTGACTGAAACCCCACTGGTGTATTCGTTTCGAGTTCAGAAGCGGTTTCTTGTGAAACGGGAGTGCTTCTAGACGTAGAATCGCTACTCGAAGATTCTATAAGCATATCCGTGTCGTCTGTTTGTTTTCTTTTGCTTGACTTCCAACCATCTTCGCTTGGTTTACGCTTTCCGTGTTTCTTTGCCGATTTATCAGAGCCAGTGAGAATATTTGTTAGTTCAACGTTTGAAAAAACAGACGTACTTTCGTATCCGGTTAATGAATCATTTAAGAACATGTCCGCATTGGCGTTGCCCATCATGGATATGTTGAGGTTCATACCATGTCCCAGTCCGGATCCGTTTCCCATGGGTTCTTGCTTGATTTTACGGTCGAGCCCCCCAAAATCGGCCAAGCCACCACCTGGGGGGCCCTTAGGGCCCCCCGGATCGCCTGAACCGAGGGGTAAACTAAAATTTTCATGTCCGTTAAAGTGGTTCTTGCGTACAACTTGTTTATCCCATAATTTCGTTATCGCCCGCATGGTAACCGGTATCGAGAAGCTACGATTTAACGCTTTTATAGCCAGTTCAGAAGCTACATCTGGAGTACTTGGAGGTGGAGGAGAACTAGGACTATGCACGCGACAATGGAGGTTCGAAATGTCAGATAGATCTATTTCAGCAGTTGCCATAGTTTCTTCAATGGGATGCTCTAAAGATATCGATATATGGGTCCATGATAGAGCACTTATTTCAAACATGATCATATTCTCAAAATCTGAAAAAACAAAATATTAGACTTCTAAAATTTAAGGACTTTTTTACTACTTTATGCTATATGAAGATTGGAAAAACTTTGGCGGTTGTTGTAGAACAAACAGAATAGCTCAAAACCCCAACGCCAAAACACGACACTGTAGTTGTCCGAAGCACTTTTCGGTAACAAAGTTACCTTCTTCAGGGACTGAAGTAAAGTTTACTTCAGTCCCTGNAAATCTTCCACATAGAATTACAAGTTCTCTTTATTTACAGAGCAAAAAATACAACGTAATTAAAAAAAAAATAAAAAAGGATAAATAAATAAGACAAGTTTCACAGCAACATCTTTGTTATATATAATGTTTTTGTTAATTTACGGTATCGAAATGACTCCCAAACCAACTCCACCCTCATGCGCCACCATAGGGGCTGCAAACGTCCATGTGTCCGTTACTGGGTCATATACTTCGACTGATACCAGATTAGAGAATCCATCATATCCGCCCACTGCCCATAATTTACCCATGTTGGCAGTCAGAGCTACTCTGCTTCTATGAGCGTTCATGGAAGCAACGTACGACCATCTAAAATGATTCCAACGGTAATTGTATTAATTAAATTTGCACTCTATTATTTATTACTTACTTATTGGTATTCGGATCAAACACTTCGACGGTTTGTAAGAAGGAAGCCCCGTCGTATCCGCCACATGCGTATAATTTACCTCCCAACATTGCTACTCCAAGTCGACACCTAAAAGTTGAAAAAAAATCTAATGATAAATACATTTTTTATTTTCAAGTTTTTATTAATTGACTATTAATCTAATGTTTTTGGCGTTGTAAAAGCCTTAGTAACGTAAGGCGAAACGTTGGTTGTGATTAAATAATTGAAAAATAAACCTTCACGCCTATTTGTCTTTTAATTTCTAATTTACAAGATTGTTAAGTAACTTATTAACGAAAGTTGAACGATATTTCCTGCTTATAATTGTAAAAATAAATTTAATTGCCTTTTAGTTAACATGGGGGTAGCTTCAGTCCATGTGTTCGTGTTGGGGTCGTATCGCTCCACTGAATCGAATATAGAGAGGCCATCGTGACCCCCCAGGGCATATATGTAACCTATAATAAAAAGAATTTTATCAAAAGATAATTTTACTATTTAGTTATAATTATTGTATTATAACAAATATTCCTAAATTGAAATATTACCTTGGCAGGCAATTACTGCTCCCGCACTCCTCGACTTGTTCATGGGAGCTAGGGTACACCATGTGTTTATCTGGGGGTGGTACCGTTCTACTGAATTCAAAGACGATACACCGTCGTAACCCCCGCACACATAGATCCAGTCTCCCAGCGCTGTTGCCCCAAGAGCACTTAAAACGCACCAAAGATAAACCCTTTACAATGTCATTTTTACTTTCAAATACAATATAACAATCCCTGACGCATTTAAAATGTTTACTCAAATATTGTAAATGAAGCTTCCCTTGATTTTTCTTTATTTTTTTTTTTGTTAATTGAATTACCTTCGTTTACATTGCATGGGAGCAACAGTAGACCACTCCTTCTTCATGCAGTCGTAAACTTCTACGCTAGCCAGTCGATCTTTACCATTGTAACCCCCAAAAGCGTATAGCATACCCCTTAAAACAGCCACTCCTAAACGCGAACGCATCGTAGACATGGCGGGCGCCGATTGCCACGCGTTTAGTTTCGGATCATAATACTCTACAGTGCTTAAAGAATCCCCTGCAATAATAAATCAGGATCTAAGCAAAAATTAATGCGTCATTCTTTTAGTATCATCGTTCTTTTATTGAATTTTTTACTTTTAAAAACGAAATTAAATATTTTAATATATTCTTCTATTTCTATTTAACGAAAAATGATAAATATTTTGTAAATGTGGAATCTATCCGTTACCATGTTTATTTAATCCTCCAACCACGTAAATATGGCCACGTACTTCACAAGCTCGCGGTTTAGTCCTGAAACTTTGTAAGAGTGGCCTGCGCTCTGGTATAAGATGAAAAACTCTGGCTTCATCCAAAAGATCTCTATTTGAAAAATAAAAACAATGTAGCGCTGTCTATACACACCACTGCTATAGGCAGTGTGGTAAATTTACCCTAGGATGAATCAAGTTTCATAATAAAGGCTGTTAATGGGTGTAATTATTACATACAGCAAAAATGTGTATTTTAACCCAGGATAAATTCACCTTACTTACCCTGGAAATGGTAATAAAAAAATTCTTACTTTACCTGCACTGATGAGATGTCCTTATCAGTTCTTCTGTGGCAACACGATCTGTTAAATAAAGAGGTGACAAGAGTGGCAATCGAACCTGTGCTAAAAGAACTGGTAAGTTTGCAGTTCTGTTTTCACTGTGTTTTACCCATCTCATGCAGGCTTCAAAAACTTGTTCTTCACTGTTAAAACAAAATATATTTAACATAAAATTTATAAATAGTTCATATAATTACAAAGAAATAGACTTTTACCTTTCAACTCTTAGTTCATTTCTATTTAGTAAGTTTTTTACATCTTCCATTGGTAAATTTAAATATTCATCTGAAAGAGACACTTCATGAAAACACTGCTCAATGTATTTGTCAGCAGATTCTACTAAATTTGAACAGCCCAATGTATCAGCAAACTGCCTTATTCCAAGAGCATTATGAGGGTGAAGTCTGTAAAATGTAAAATATAAATACTCCTACTTATATTGAGAATTTTTATACCATATTTTTACCTTTGCAAAAGATAGTTGGCACAAGCATCTCTGACTTTAGTGAGGTGCAAATATGAAGCACCCAACATTATACTTTGTACATTGTTTTTGTCTAAAACAATTCTTCCAGAATATGCAAAGTTTATTAATGCTTCAAGGGAACTGGAATCAAGATAGAAAAGTTTTAAAATAAGTACAAAGGGCACTTTTAAAAATCACTCACTTTGCATCAATGCTTTGCATTTTTATCTCATGCTGTCGACTTTCAACCATATCATTGGTAAACATTGCATGAAAGTAAGGAATTGTTGCTGCAAGAACAATTTTGTGGGCACTAAAGGCTTGATCATCAACCTATACAAGAATGTGAATTATTACTTAATTACCTAACTGATTTTGTCATTCCACTTAATATTAGGACATACTTAATTTTAATTATAGTCATATACCTTTAAAACAACATCGCAAAGTTTCCCCTGTCTTCGAATTTCTTCCATTGCAGGGAAGGCAGAAGGAAACAAATCATTTTGTTGAAAAACCATACTTTCATTGCTCATTTCATAAAGATTTCGTGGACATTCTGAAGTTTTAGAATCAGTTAATGCTCGCAAAGGATACATATTATATTACAAAACTGTTTTATTGTATCGTTTCCAAATGTTTATTTATATTTATACAACTGCAATAAATACAAATACAAATATTTGTAGTAAACTGAGGTTATGTTTTAATAATGTCAAAATCCATAGATAGTCAAAATCTGTTGGAAAGTTGGAAAACAAATAATATAACCTAAAAGTTTGGCATTTTTGATATTGTTAATATTTGTTAATTAATTTATAATAAAAAAAAAACAACGCTAATAACTGATGCACTATGAACGTAACGTTGTGAGCATAACACTAACCAACCGTTTACGTGTTGCATGTGAAGTAGTCATATGTACAAATTCAAATTCTACTCTTGTATGAAAATAACGAATGTGTAATTCTATACTTGCGAAAATGGTTCACATGAAGTGTAGATCAAAGGTTTATCCGTTTAGTAACATAAACAGAATAGTTTTTCCCGATAGTTTGGTAGATTGGAGTCAACCTTTTCCTGACTATAGCCCAGAAGAATACAACTCACCTGGCTTAAAAGGAAAACCGTATGCAGATCCTGACTTGGGTAAATACATTAATACATTAACATATTTTTAATTATGAACATTAGTTTATATCAGATGATCCAAATTTTCATCCCAAATGGAACTCATTAGATGGTAACATTAACCGTAAAAGTCATATTGGAGACTATGCTGTACTGAATGGAAGACCCCTTAATCCTGAAGGAAGAACGGGTATAAAAGGACGTGGAGTTTTAGGCCGTTGGGGGCCAAACCATGCAGCTGATCCAATAGTGACACGATGGAAAATGGATAATGGGACTAAAATACTACATACAGTTACCAAGCTGTAAGATTCTAAAGACAACATATGATTTGATTGTTTATTAAAAATTTTAGAGCTATTTTACAATTTTGTGCCATTCAGAGACATGATACACATGAATGGGCAGTACCAGGGGGTATGGTTGATCCTGGAGAACAAGTAAGTATCACCCTTAAAAGAGAATTTATGGAGGAGGCAATGAATAGTCTTCAGAGTTCACCAGGTAAAATAAATAAGTTATATTTATTAGAACACTTTTTCAAGAAAACCTTTTATTTTTAGGTCAATTAGAAAAGAACAAACAAATGGTTGAAAAGTTTTTTAACACAGGGGAAATTGTCTATAAAGGATATGTAGATGACCCAAGAAATACTGATAATGCTTGGATAGAAACAGTAGCTGCAAATTTTCATGATGAAGATGGTACTTCAGTAGGGCAATTTGAATTGAATGCAGGGGATGATGCCAAAAATGTAAAGTGGATGGACATTGATAAGAATTTAAATTTGTATGCAAGTCATTCTCAATTAATTCAGTATGTGGTGAAGTTGAGAGGGGCACATTGGTAAGGAAAAAAGAAGGAAATAATGTTTGTTTTTGAAAAATAAAGTGATATTTTTAAATAATATTCGTTTATTTTATTACTTATTCTTATAGTTTTGTAAGTTATAATTTGTACTAGTATTATGCACAACAAAAAATTATAATAAATATTTTAAACCTCTCACTTTTACTTACATTAT